GACGACCCACAACGGCCGAAGCTGCTGTCCACGAGTTCTGTGAAAGGTCCCATGATGTCCAACAAAAAACCCAAAGCGGCCCCCCAGAAGATCGAAGAGACGCCACAAAGGCCCAAACATCCCAACATCATTCTTTTCCCGCGGGAAGGGCTCTTTTAAGCGTTTTGGACTTTTCGGCCTTCACACCGTGGACACGAATGCCAGAGACACCCCAAAACCACCCCAAGACGGCGCAAGAAGCCTTCAAAAAGTACCCACGACCGCCCCAGAGAGCTCGACAACGCCCCCCAGACGTCCAAGAGGGCAGCGAACCGCCCAAACATCGTTCCAATACACCTTGGGGTCGGCGGCAGAGGCGGCAGCCTTTAGATTTTCGACTTCGTGCGCATATGTTTCGACAATGGTCCAAGATGCTCCTCAATGGTCTTCGCCGACGGAAAAATACACACGTCCAGGCGATGCCAAGCACCCCGCTCAGCCCTTCTGAGCTCAGGCATCGGCCCGGGCCACTCCTCCTCCTCCTCCTCCTCCTCCTCCTCCTCCTCCTCCTCCTCCTCCTCCTCCTCCTCCTCCTCCTCCTCTCCTCCTCTCCTCCTCCTCCTCCTCCTCCTCCTCCTCCTCCTCCCCCCTCCTCCCCCTCCTCCTCCTCCTCCTCCTCCTCCTCCTCCTCCTCCCTCCTCCTCCTCCTCCTCCTCCTCCTCCTCCTCCTCTCCTCCCTCCTCCCTCCTCCTCCTCCTTCTCCTCCTCCTCCTCCTCCTCCTCCCAGGAGGCCCCAAGAGTCCCTCAAGAGGCCCCCAAGAAGTCCCCAAGAGGCCCCCAAGACGCCCGAAAGAGGCCTCAAGAGGCCCCTTAAGGGCCCCCAAGAGGCGCCCAAACTGCCTCCAAGAGGCCCCAGAGAAGCCTCCCACGAGATCCCAACGAACATCCAATCGGCTTCATACCTACAACCCAAGCAAAGGGGGCGGGATGGGCCGAAGGCCATTAGATATACGCTATCGCGTTCCCGTCTCAAGCGGGGATTGGGAGATAAATTCGATGGCACCTGCTTAACAAAATCATGCGAAATCAGTCGCGCGTCGATGCTCCGTCCAGCCTCGTTCGCGTCCATGCCACAAGTGGCGTGCGCTCGAATGCACGCACCGCGGGCGAGACCGCCCGTCGATGGACAGAGTCATAGAGGAAGCATGGCGCTAAGGGGCAGCGCTGATACATTCGTTTCGTGTGACGAGCGTGGAGTGTTGGCAAGGATTCGCCACCGTGCTTCTGGGCGCGGAGTGGGCGCGTCCTCAGGTCCCCTCACGACCCCTCTAAGCCTCAGTCGTCACTCCTGAGGAGTTCTGAAAGGATTCGGAGCCCCTCGTCTCAAATCTCATGGGGCGCGGCGCGGTCTGTCGCGTGACTTGTTCGAGACGGGCCAAGAAGGTCCCAATGAGCCCCCAAGATGGTGCGAGGAAGCCCCGTGTCGCCGAACGATCGCTCCAATACGCTCGAGTTGGCCCCCAGAAGACCTCCGAAGAGGGCCCCAAGAAGCAACGACTATGGATGATCAATACGTGTTTGAAGGCTTTGGGCGTTCTCACCTTGTCGGCTTCCCGACGCTGAAAGGATTCGGAGCCCCTCGTCTCAAATCTCATGGGGCGCGGCGCGCTCTGTCGTGTGCCTTGTTCGAGAGGGCGAGGGGGGCCCCATTACGTAAGCCCCCAAGACGGTGCGAGGAGGCCCCGCGTCGCCGCACGATCGCCCCAGGACGCTCAGGATGGCCCCCAGACGGCCCCCCCAAGGGGGCCCCGAGAGACAAACTTTATGGATGATCCATAAGTGTCTGAAGGATGTGGGCTTTCTCACCTTTTCGGCTTCCCGACGCTCCCAGACGGCTCTAGAGGCCCCCCAAAACCGCCCCAATACGGCCCAAGAGTCCTCCAAGAGGGCCCCCAAACGGCCCAAGAGGGCACCAAGACAACCCAAGAAACACCCAACACTGCCCAAGAGTGCCCCAAAACGGCCCCGAAAGGGCACAAAAGCGAGAACACGAACCGAACATCCGAGCCTTCCGCCCCAAGAGGCCCTCAGGGGGGGCCCAAGAGGCGCCTGGGACCCCTCAAGCGGCCCTCAAGAAGTCCCCAAGAGGCCACACGAGGCCTCTTGAGGGCCCCACAGAAGCGTCCAGACTGCCTCCAAGACGCCCCCGAGAAGCCTCCCAAGAGATCGAACGACCAATCGGCTTCATACCTACAACCGAAGCAAGGGGACGGGATGGGCCGAAGGCCATTAGATATACGCTATCGCTATCCCGTCGCAAGCGGGGATTAGGAGATAAATTCGATGGCACCTGCTTAACAAAATCGAGCGAAATCAGTCGCGCGTCGATGCTCCGTCCAGCCTCGTTCGCGTCCATGCCACAAGTGGCGTGCGCTCGAATGCACGCACCGCGGGCGAGACCGCCCGTCGATGGACAGAGTCATAGAGGAAGCATGGCGCTAAGGGGCAGCGCTGATACATTCGTTTCGTGTGACGAGCGTGGAGTGTTGGCAAGGATTCGCCACCGTGCTTCTGAGCGCGGAGTGGGCGCGTCCTCAAATCCCCTCACGGCCTCTTTAAGCCTCAACCGTCACTCCTGAGGAGTTTTTAACGGGTTCAGAGCCCCTCGTCTCAAATCTCATGGGGCGTGGCGCGGTCTGTCGCGTGACTTGTTCGAGACGGGCCAAGAAGGTCCCAATGAGCCCCCAAGATGGTGCGAGGAAGCCCCGTGTCGCCGAACGATCGCTCCAATACGCTCGATTTGGCCCCCAGAAGGCCTCCGAAGAGGGCCCCAAGAAGCAACGACTATGGATGATCAATACGTGTTTGAAGGCTTTGGGCGTTCTCACCGTGTCGGCTTCCCGACGCTCCCAGACGGCCCCATAGGCCCCCAAGGGCCCAAGAAGCCTCCAAGATGGCTCCAAAACGGCCCAAGAGGGCCCCAAGACAGTACACGAAGCACCCACAACGGCCCCAATAGGAGCCCACACGAGAGAACACGAACCGAACATCCGAGCCTTCTGCCCCAAGAGGCCCCCAGGAGGCGCCCTCAAGAAGTCCCCAAGAGGCCCCCAATAGGCCACTTTTAAGGGCCCCCAAGAGGCGTCCAAACTGCCTCCAAGAGACCCCGAGAAGCCTCCCACGAAATCCAACGAACACCCAATCGGCTTCATACCAACAACCCAAGCAAAGTTGCGGGATGGGCCGAAGGCCATTCGATATACGCTATCGCGCTCCCGTCTCAAACTGGGATCGGGAAACCGTTAACTCGGTCACACGCATCACTTTTTAGATTGCCAATGCGCCATCTGTGCGCCATGCATGGCTGACTGACTGGCTGGCTGCTTAACAAAATTGAGATCCGTCGCGCGTCAATGCTCCGTCCAGCCTCACTCGCGTCCATGCCACAAGTGGCGTGCGCTCGAATGCACGCACCGCGGGCGAGACCGCCCGTCGATGGACAGAGTCATAGAGGAAGCATGGAGCTAAGGGGCAGCGCTGATACATTCGTTTCGTGTGACGAGCGTGGAGTGTTGGCAAGGATTCGCCACCGTGCTTCTGTGCACGGAATGGGCGCGTCCTCAAGTCCCCTCACGACCCCTTTAAGCCTCAGTCGTCACTCCTGAGGAGTACTTATCTCCTGGGGCGTGGTGCGGTCTGTCGCGTGACTTGTTCGGGCCCAAGAGGGCCCAAAGACGGGCCAAGTGTACCCCATGAAGCCCCCAGGACTGTCCAAGGAGGCCCCGAGTCGCCGAACGATCGTTCCACGACGCTCAAGATGGCTCCCAGACGGCCTCCCAAGACGGCCTCATTGATTTTCCGTTGGTTTTGGAAGGACGCTCCCAGACGGCCCCAGAGGCCCCCAAGACCGCCCCATGATGTCAGTGGCGCAAGTCGCAAGCCTCCGACGCGTAGCCACCCGTCGCCTGACCCCCCCTGGGTTCCTCCTCTCCCCCCCGCCTCAGGCATCCCGTGGCCAGTCTGCACATGGGGTACTCGAATCCGACAGTCGCCGTGGCGTCGACGGGTCCTGGGGAACCAGGCCTTGCGGTGTCTTGTCGCTTTTGGTGAGCCTGGGCACAGGCCCGGGGAACGTGAATTGCTCTGGGGGGACGGCCCCCCGGGCAAGACTCGATTCCCTCAGGTCCGTTACCTTTAGTCCTCCTCCCTCCTCCTCCCTCCTCCCCCATTCTCCTCCTCCTCCTCCTCCTCCTCCTCCTCCTCCTCCTCCTCCTCCTCCTCCTCCTCCTCCTCCTCCTCCTCCTCCTCCTCCTCCTCCTCCTCCTCCTCCTCCTCCTCCTCCTCCTCCTCCTCCTCCTCCTCCTCCTCCTCCTCCTCCTCCTCCTCCTCCTCCTCCTCCTCCTCCTCCTCCTCTCCTCTCCTCCTCCTCCTCCTCCTCCTCCTCCTCCTCCTCCTCCTCCTCTCCTCCTCCTCCTCCTCCTCCTCCTCCCCTCCTCCTCCTCCTCCTCCTCCCTCCTCCTCCCTCCTCCTCCCTCTCCTCCTCCTCCTCCTCCTCCTCCTCCTCCTCCTCCTCCTCCTCCTCCTCCTCCTCCTCCTCCTCCTCCTCCTCCTCCTCCTCCTCCTCCTCCTCCTCCTCCTCCTCCTCCTCCTCCTCCTCCTCCTCCTCCTCCTCCCTCCTCCTCCTCCTCCTCCTCCTCTCTCCTCCTCCTCCTCCTCCTCCTCCTCCTCCTCCTCCTCCTCCTCCTCCTCCTCCCCCGCCCCGGGGGCAAGACTCGATTGCCTCAGGACCGTTTCCTGCATGCCAAATCAATGACGCCACGGCGTAGGCTTAGGTCGGGCATGTCCTCCTACAGGCGGAGCTTGGACGAACAAACAAATACCTAATCAACACATGCTCAAAAGTAGGGAGAACAAAAAAAACGTCCCCATATGATGTTTTGTCTATTCTTGAATTTTCCTCCTGTAGAGGGGCAGGCCCAACTTAAGCGTAGGCGGACGCAGGGGGCGGCAGCCATGTTGTCTCAGCGAGGATTCGTCGCGGCGACGGCGGCAAGCTCCGAAGCTTCTAGCCACGAGGCCATCGGCTCTGGCTCTGCGTCCTTGAGGACGAAGGGCAAGAAGTCAGCATTCTTGACGCGCGTCACCCGTCTGGCACTCCACTTGCGCAGGTTCGCCTCAAGGCCCTGCACAGAGGCGTCGGAAACGTTGAGCGGGACGTCTTTACCTGCCTCGTCCTTGGTGCAGAGACGCCTGGAGCGGTGCCAAGCGGCTGCAAAGGTGCTGGCCGCGTCAGCAGTCCTGAAGTTGATGAACGCCATGCCTTTCCCAGAGCCATCCGCGAAGTTCCTCGGGAGGTATGCAAAATCGTACTTCTCTACGAACCCACTGCGGTTGACCTCGTCGAGGAACTCCTGCTGAGAGGTCGAGATATGTAGGTTGCGCACCGCCAGGGTGGTGATCCTGGGCTGGGTGGCCGCCTGATGCTTGGCCTCGCAAGGGCGCGTCCCCAGAATGACCCGCACGCGTTGGCCAGGGCTGGGCAGTGCCGACGCCGGTCCGAGCACGGCGGATGGGGCGCGGGCGCAGTTGCGCTTCGGCTTCGGCGCTGGGACTGGCCAGAGCTCGCACGCCGACTTGACCTGGGGCTCACCCTCGTCGTCCGTGCCGGGGTAGAGGACCATCTTCGACGGGAAGTTGTCCTCGTCTCATTCCTTTTAGGTCGGGCATGTCCTCCTACATGTGGATTTGGCACAAACAACAAAAGTACCCCCAACATGCTCAAACATACCCAAAACACGGTCCAAACATCGTCCCCTCACTATTTTTGGACTATTTCTGAACATCCCTCCTGTCGAGGGACATGCCCGACTGGACACTCATTCTCGGCATGGCTGCTGAGGGGGTCCGACGGCGCCGCGGCGCGGCGGCCGGGCATAGCCAGGCCGCCCGGCACGGGGTCCAGTTGGCAGCGCGTCGGCGACTGCGGGCAGCCCCAGCACCCAGCCCGCGGCACCGTGGGCGCAGCGCCCGCCTCGGAGCCGACGGCCCACCGCCCTGGCGGCGCCGTCAGCGGCATGTCGCTGGCCGTCGACGCGGAGCCCTGGGAAGCGAACCTCTCGGGCGTCCCCACGGAGGTGGGCCTCTCCCACTCGCCCGCGGCACCGTCCAGGGGTGAGGAGTGGCATCCGACGTTGCCCTGGAGCCCCAGGTGCCACGCAGGAGCCGTGCGAGCGAGCTGCTGCGGCGCGGCGGTGCCGCCGACTGGCGTTCTCATGCCGGGGGGGCGACGCATGGTGCGAAGACCAAGGACGGCCTGCGCCATGGCTATCAGATCCAGGGAACCCAGACCCCCGACGTCGTGATTTGTTTACAAGGTCGACCCCCAGAGGTCTGCCCCGGGACCAGTTTTTCATCCTGACTCGCTTTTTGGAGGTCCCGAGGCCGGGCAAGGGCTCCCGGGGCCGAAAGTAGCGAAAAACATCCCGTCGAGATTGCTTCACAACGCGAGGGGGTCTGGGAAGCCTGCCGCGCGGCTGGAGCAGTTGGGGGGGGGGGGGGGAAGCAGGGTGGCGCGCTTCCGAGGAAGTGCGGCCGGCCACCAGCTGGGCCGTGTCGGCCGTGGAAGGCTTGAGCCAAGAAATGCTGAGGGTCAGTCAAAGATGGGGTCAAGGATTGGAGGGGCCCAGGGGCACACAGATAGATACAACAGATTGTCGGGGCCCAGGGACACACAGAGAAATACACACGAATCCCAGGTTCTGCCTTCCCCCCCACTTCCCATAGTTTGCCATCGATTCCACGGTGTGTTTTGTCCACTCCTGGAAGACGCACGGGGCCCGGCAAGCGGAGCCGGCGGCGAGCTGTGCGAGAGGCCCCCAGGCGCTGAGCCCCCCAAGCAGCCCCCGAAACGCCTCCATGCGCCCCTCCCAAGAGGTCCCCCAGAGGGGCGCGGGCCCCAAGACGCTCCCGGATTGTTCGACAGGCCCTGTTAGGGATGGATGGAGCTCTGCAAAGATCCTGTCAGGGATGGACGGAGCTCGAAGAGGAGTCAGTTGAGGATGGATGAGCTTGAATCAGATCTTATGGGTGGAGCTCGACTAGGATGCGAATAGTAGTAGCAACGCTGGTATATTCGTAGTAGCAATAGTCGTAGTAGTCGTAATCGTAGTAGTAGTAGTAGTAGTAGTAGTCGTCGTCGTCGTCGTCGTCGTCGTCGTCGTCGTCGTCGTCGTCGTCGTCGTCGTCGTAGTCGTCGTCGTCGTCGTCGTCGTCGTCGTCGTCGTCGTCGTCGTCGGTCGTCGTCGCGTCGTCGTCGTCGTCGTAGTCGTAGTCGTAGTCGTAGTATCGTAGTCGTAGTCGTAGTCGTAGTAGTAGTAGTAGTAGTAGTAGTAGTAGTAGTAGTAGTAGTATAGTAGTAGTAGTAGTAGTAGTAGTAGTAGTAGTAGTAGTAGTAGTAGTCGTAGTAGTCGTCGTAGTAGTCGTAGTAGTCGTAGCTAGTAGTAGTCGTCGTAGTCGTAGTAGTCGTAGTGTAGTAGTAGTAGTAGTAGTAGTAGTAGTAGTAGTAGTAGTAGTAGTAGTAGTCGTAGTCGTAGTAGTCGTAGTAGTAGTAGTAGTCGTAGTAGTAGTAGTGTAGTAGTAGTAGTAGTAGTAGTAGTAGTAGTAGTAGTAGTAGTAGTAGTAGTAGTAGTAGCAGCAGCAGCAGTAGCAGTAGTAGTAGTAGTAATAGTAGTAGTAGTAGTAGTAGTAGTAGTAGTGGTAGTAGTAGTAGTAGTAGTAGTAGTAGTAGTAGTAGTAGTGGAAGTAGTAGTTTTAGCAGTGGTAGTAATACGCGGAAGGAGTGGTAGTAGGAGATGAATAACTGTAGTACAAGTGGTGGTACTGGGAATGTTGGTAGTGGTAGTAGCGGGAGTGGCCGTCATAGTGTTAGCAGTATGTACTACTGCTACAACTACTACTACAAATCGAAACCAATTGCCCTAGCCAGCCCAACCAGCCAGCCCAACCAACCAGCCACCCAAACAACTCAACCGGCTCAACCAGCCCAACCAGCCACCCCGCAACCCTAGCCAACCCGCCACCCCGCCAACCCGCCCACCCCCGCCTCCTGCCCTCCGTCACCGTCAAGAGGGGGGGGGGAAGTGTTTCTTACAAGCGGAAACCACAAAAATCACCTTCACGGGGTCCGGCGGGACAGCGGGGGGAGGGGAAATCGCACCGTACTATGCGGGAGGGGGATTCGCGCCCGAGGTGCCCGGGGACGATTTTGGGCCTCAAGTGCGACACTGTCGTCACTTTATGACCTTTCACCGCGCTCCCCCTCTCAACGGAAAGGCTCCCATCAGTGAAACTGTCGTCATTTTTCAGCTCCCGGGAGAGGCTTCTTAGAGGCCCCCAGAGGCTCCAGGAGGGCCCATGGCGGCCTCGGGAGTGCCTAGGAGATCTCCGGAGGGCCTCAGGAGGACCCACTCTGCACTGCGCCCCCCTTCTCAACGGAAAGGCCCCCATGCGTGAAATTGTTTTCATCATTCCGCCCCCGCGAGAGAGTTCTTAGAGGGCCCACGGAGGCTCCAGGAGGGCCCATGGCGGCCCCGGGAGAGCCCACGAGATCTCCAGAGCCCCCAGGAGGACCCACTTTGAATTACACTCAGGGAACAGGACCCCCAGCACGCTCTAGGAGAGCCAAGGCGACACCAAGAGGCTCCAGGACGGGAGTCATTCCCTCTCCTCCTCCTGCTCGTCGTCGTCATCCTTCTCCTCATCCGTCCTGCTTCAAATCCTTCCTCCCCCTCTTCCTCCTCCTTCTCCTCCTCTTTCTCCTCCTCCTCCTCCTCCTCCGCCTCCTCCTCTTCCTCCTCCTCCGCCTCCTCCTCCTGCCTCATCCGTAACCTCGATGGCTCCGATAGCGCCGTGCGTGAGATCCGCCTCCTCCCCATCCGTCATCTTCCCTCCTCCCTCCCCCTTCCCTCCTCTATCTCCCCCCCTCCCCTCTCCCAGGAGCGTCGCAAAGAGGCCCTCCGAGGAAAAATTTCACGAAAGCAAGGGCGCCGACACGATGAACAGACACCACGTCGGGGCTCCGGGCACGGAGTCGAAGACGAAACCTCGAATAACTTAGTCTTCAATGTGCGGGGCATTTTTCTTACCACCTGCGAGCCTTGTGGAAACACCCGAGAGCCTCAGAGGTGGACGTCTGGCGCAAGAGCCCGAAAGGCGGAGGAAACAACACGACGCTCCACGGAGTAAGCTGCACCAAATTGGTTTCTACCCCCGTGAGGGGCGTTACAGGGTAGTAGTAGTAGTAGTAGTAGTAGTAGTAGTAGTAGTAGTAGTAGCAGCAGCAGCAGCAGCAATAGTAGTAGTAGTAGTAGTAGTAGTCGTCGTAGTCGTAGCAGTCGTAGTAGTAGTCGTAGTAGTAGTAGTAGTAGTAATAGTAGTAGTAGTAGTAGTAGTAGTAGTAGTAGTAGTAGTACTCGTAGTCGTAGTCGTAGTAGTCGTCGTAGTAGTAATAGTACTAGCAGTATTGGTAGTAGTAGTAGTAGTAGTAGTAGTAGTAGTAGCAGTAGTAGTAATAGTAGTAGTCGCAGTAGTAGTAGTAGTAGTGGTGGTGGTGGTGGTGGTATTAGTAGTGTATAGTCGTAGTAGTAAGTAGTAGTGTATAGTAGTAGTAGTAGTAAGTAGTAGTAGTAAGTAGTAGTAGTAGTAGTAGTAGTAGTAGTATAGTCAGTAGTAGTAGTAGTAGCAAAGTAGTAAGTGGTAGCAGTAGTAAGTAGTCGTAGTAGTGTAGTCGTAGTAGTAGTAGTATAGTAGTAGTAGTAGTAGTAAGAGTAGTAGTAGTAGCAGCAGCAGTAGTAGTAGTAGTAGTAGTAGTAGTAGTAGTAGTAGTAGTATCAGTCGATATCTTACGACTCGTACAATCACTACTACAAGTATTGGTAAGACGATAACTAGTCGTTACACCAATAAAATGTCGTTTGCTACTCCAAATGCTGCTGCCACATTTACAACTAATAATGCTACGGCTACTACTTCTACCGCTACCAGGGCAACTACCACCTACTACTACTACTACTACTACTACTATTACTACTACTACTACTATACTACTACTACTACTACTACTACTACTACTACTACTACTACTACTACTACTACTACTACTAACTACTACTACTGCTGCTACTGCTACTACTACTACTACTACTACTACTACTACTACTACTACTACTACTACTACTACTACTACTACTACTACTACTACTACTACTACTACTACTACTACTACTACTACTTCTACTACTACTACTACTACTACTACTACTACTACTACTACTACTACTACTACTACTACGACTACTACTACTACTACTACTACTACTACTACTACTACTACTACTACTATACTACTACTACTACTACTACTCCTATTACTACGATTTTCGCGTATACGTTTGCGACTACTACATATACGTATGCGACTACTACAATTACGACTGATTAGAAATTCGCAGGCGCCAACGGGCCAGGGCGTGCTAAGATCTCCGGTAACTGGTTAACAGTATTAACAGTATTTCTAGTTCGCGCGCGCGGGGCGGCCCCTGGGGGTCCCCCGGCGAAAAGTACCCCGACCAACGCCCGGTCGCCGCCCGACCAAGTCTACTCAGAGATGGTTTTCCTTCTGGGTGCGGCCTCTCAGGCTCCCCAGAGCGCGCTCAGAGTGCCCCAAGAGGCCCCCAAGACTGCCCAAGAGGCCCCCGAGACGCCCAAAGAGCGCTCGAAGACGCCGAAGATGACCCCAAGACGGCCCAAAAGGCCCCCAAGACAGCCCAAGAGGCCTCCAAGACGCCCCAAGAGCCTTCCAAGAGGCCTCCGAAGAGAGCCCCAAGAGGCCAAAATCGTTGATTTTCATTGGTTTTTTTTCGATGTTTTTTGTGTTCTGGCTTTTTCGGCTTCCGGACGCTCCAAGACGGCCCAAGAGGCCCCCAAGACCGCTCCAAGACGGCCCACGAAGCTCCCAAGACGGCGCCGAAACGACCCAAGAGAGCCCTCAAGACGGCCCAAGTGCCGCCCAAGACGGACCAAGAGGCCCCAAGACGGGCCCAAGAGGGACTCAGGAGGGATACCGAGAACTCAAAAATGGAGCCCTCCGTCCCAGAAGGCGCCCAGGAGGTCCCAAAGAGGCCCCAAGAGGCCTCCAAGAGGCCCCAAGATGTCGCCAAGAGGCCCCAGGAGACTCCCAGGAGGCCCAAAAGAAGCCCCAGAAGGCTTCAAACATGTCTCCCAGGCGCCCCCGAACGGCCTCTCAACAGACCCCAAGAGGCCCCC